AAATGCAACAAATAACGTAAATAACTCGGATGAAATTATCCCCAATGTCAATTCAATGAACGGAACGCAGCGACGTAGTAGAATTTACTTGAAAAATGTTGAATGTTTGCGAGAACCACATCGAGATCCTATCGAGCAACAAGATAACCTTATTAGTGATAGTCTCTTTCACTTTGACAACGATGATAGCAATACCTTGGCAAATATAGGTAGCATTAGTATGGAAGATCAGGACATTATTGGTATACTCACCAGTGGCGAACAAAATCTTCACAGCAAAAGCAATAATATTGACAATGTTGCTAATGAAGCAATAACAGCACCCGTTGAAGTAAATAATCCAGTGAATCCACCTAAACAAAAGATTTCTATTAAAAGTGTCGACGTGTTGCGCGAACCTGCGCTGATGCGACGTGATTATGAGATGCAAGCATTTGACGATTTCAATAACATTTGTAGCGTTTTGAATTTACATGATGCCGGTAACATCTGTGAAGAAAATGATGGAGAAGCCGATGACAACGATGTACAATATAGTAATTATGCAATGACCTCGAATAGGGAACCACTGGTAGGAAGCACTAACGAAGCTGACATCACTAATTTTACAAGTTGCTACGAAAAACCTAGGAAACCTAAAATTTATATTAAAAACGTAGACATCCTTAAAGAGCCTATGACATTCTCTAACAGTATAAATGTGCCTAACGTTACGGAGTCCAATAGCAATGTGATGAATTTCAATTTCATGCAACCTTCGCTACCACAAATCGCTACCTCCTACCTTGAAAATGTGGAAAGCTTAAACCCTACGGTGCCGCCATTTAATGGTGGAATGTCTCAACTTCCTCTTGGCACTATATCTGATCAATATCTCTTTGATAATGGGGGCGGCAACTTTTTGGTTAATACGACAACAGCTACCTCTGCTGACACATTCACTTATGGAAACGAAGCGAACTCGGACAACTTTTTAATGGAATCCAGTCGTTATGTGGATACGATAACTCCAATTATGATTGAACCTACGCCGCCACCTCAGCAAATGGACATAATTAACGAACATATAAACACTTTTGCGAAAGATGTCCAACCAGCTACACAGACTGCAACGCCGACCAATATTCCAAAACAGAAAATTTTTATTAAAAATGTTGACATTTTGAAAGAACCACAGTTCCAGGAGCCGCGCGGCTTGCTACACCTGCGCACAGTCGATGAATTGAATCTAATGAATAGAAAAGAAGTTGAAAATCTCATAGCGCCTAATTTAGAGGGCAATCAGTCTAGCTTGGGTGAAGAGGATATCAGCGACAATTTCACGCAATTGAACAATGGGAGTGGTGAAACGTCTGCGGTTGAACAGTGCACCGACAGCAATGCAATCGAGGCTATATCATACGGATGCGAAGGTTTTAAGCTGAACGAATTTTCCACACAAAATAGTTGGCATGATGACTACGATCTGGGTGATGATATCCGGGAAATAATAACTAGCACTATGACACCAAGTATACCAACATCGCAAAAGATAATACATGATTTGGATACACCGCAAGTTTCACTCATTTCAATACCAGATATGGAAGAGCTCACCGGGACAAACGTTGGGATCAATATCAGTACGATGCCACAAGCAACAGAGGAAGATATTGCATTGCCAGCAAGTGTGATACAGCCACAAGACAACGCACACTTCTCATTCGAATGTGAAATCGCCGAAACTGATAATGCTTTATCAGCACCAATTTGTGATGTTGATAATAATCGAGTGGACACCAACGCAGTTTGTCATGATACTTTGCCCGAGGCGCGGAAAGCGCCTGCAACAATGGATGTAGATCAGTTAGCAGGCGCTACAGAAGAATTGAAACCGGAACGCTTAAATCAAGCCACGCCTGGTGAACAAACTACAGCAGCGCTGCCTCAAAAAAGTAACACAGCAACAAACTTTTCTGACATTCCACCACTCACTCCAATGAGCTCTGTAACATATAACTTAAATAATACCGTAAATACAGCAACAACCATTGCCAACCAACCAACTGGTTTACCAGTACCGCCACTTGTGCCAATGTTACCACCGATTCAGTTGCCAAAACCTGTCGCCGCTTTCAGTGCAACTAGCACAGTAACAGCGCATGCGGAACGTGGTCGCATCTATGTCGCAAATAATCTAATGCAAACACCTAGCGCCAATTTGTTGTTGCAGAAATCAACAACCACAACTAATAAAACAAAAGAGCAAGAAAAACAGCAAACAAAAAATAAAACGCCAATTGCTGTTTCGGTCACGGGCGGAACCTCCGTGCGCGGGCGGCCGTTTGGCTCAAATCGTACAGGCATAACCAAGATGCGCAAGCACCCGCAGAACGGAAACGGAGATGGCGTTTACCTGAAGTGCACAATAACGGGATGTGCTTTCCGGTTTAAGAAGTCGAACACTCTCGAATACCACATAAAATGTCATAGCAGGTAAGAAAGACACACGTAGATTAATCCGACCTACATACATATCACACCCTAAATCAAAAACCGTCAACTCAAAAAAGTCCAAATGTTCAGAAGCGGCAAAAAACTGTTGAAGCTGCGCAAACGACGTCAGCAAAATTATGAAGAAGAAATTTTGCGGACGTTAGAAATATGGTCTGTGAACTGCTTATGGTAAAAAATAATTTTTGAAAAATTTTCAGTTCTAAGTTAATTTCATGGTTAATTTTATTTGATAAATTAAGCATAATTTAAGGTGCGATATGTAAAACCCGATCACTGAAATCTAAATTTGTATACATATTGTCGTATTTGCTACATACATACATACATACATACATATATGTTTCTGTTTTATTCCAGCGATTCTTCACCAGTGAGCATGGCATGTCCAGAATGCAAAGTGCCTTTCACAAATTGGAATTCATTGCACACACATCTTTGGCGTACTCATAAAATTGACATGGAGCTATACAGTTGTGAGTTGTGTAGTTTCAAAACTCCTATCTATTCGCGTCTACTAAATACACATTCCAAAATCCACTACGATGAGCGCAACTACAAGTGTGATCAGTGTGAAAAAGCCTTTAAGAATACCAAACAATTGAAAAATCATCGACGTTGGCATCGCAACCACAACAAAGCAACCTCCACGACGACATTGAAGCCCGAGAGCACTAAGAAAGATATTGCAACAAATGCTGAAAGCAAAGATCTAGCGACGACATCGCTTTCAACCACGGTTGCAACAGTATTTTCAACGTCTGAACGCAATTTTCATCGATGTAAGGACTGTGATGCAGTCTTTTCGCATCAGAGAACATTACGGGAGCATTTGTGCAAGAATGGCGCTGCAGCGGTGCAATGTGAGGTATGTGAGCGGGTACTCACTTCGCGCTCCTCTTTAAAATTACACATGCAGTCACATGAGCCCTCTAGGCGTTTTAAATGCAGTATGTGCGATTATTCTTCTAGCGATCATAATGCGTTTCGGCGTCACAAAATGACGCATGATATGAATGCAAAAATGTACTCCTGCGCGCACTGTGACTACAAGTCAATACAAAGTGTGGCTTACCAGGTAATGAAACATATCTTTTATTAATATTATATTATATTTATATTAAAGGAAAAATTTTAAATAAATACCATTTTCCTCTTGCAGAGACACGTGCAACAAAAGCATCCACAAGTCGCCGATTCGATTGTGTATAAGTGCAAAATCTGCACATTTGCTACCATAAACAAGGCTTTGTTCGATGTACATCAGGTTAAACATGCAACTCAGAATGGTCAAAAAGAAACGTCTGATAGAGAAGAGCCGTGCAGCAAGAAAAGTACGCAAAATAATGTAGGTGAGCTGCCGGCAAAAACTAAAATAAAAGTTAAGAGTCACTTACTGCTGACAACTCCAGCCGATTCGACAATGCAATTCAGCGACTTATGCTTTGATGTTGTAACTGTGCCCGCGTAGTCAACGGAGAAGATTGTTAGGTAAAAAGGGTTTGTGTTGCCATACAAATTGAAGTTAATTAACTTTGGAGCGACGTTTATTTGAAAAAGTTTTGGTAATATGTAGATTGATTCGCTAATTATGTATGTATGTAATTATGTAAATACAATAGTTTAGGTCAAGTAGTTCGACGTACGACGACAGTGCTAGCTATGTATGCGAATTTTAATAATCATTGAAGTTATTGCGTGTTTGGTTCAAATTGAATCGCTTTTGTATAATATAACATACATAGGAGAAGTTGGAAAAATATTTACACAGAAGTCGTTTGGTTATTTTGATATAAATTATTCTGCTGAGGACAACTTATTGTAGCATTGTCGTCGTATGTCTATAAAATAAGCCTTCCGGCTTATTTTACTTTATACGTTATGTCTGTATGTTTAAAGCGTATTTACTATGTAGTCAACTAGTAGATTTGCTATGTGTATATAATGTACTATATAGATTTTTAATTTGGTATACTTATAAAATATATATGAGAACAATTGGATATACTACAAATGTATGTTTGTGTACTTATATGTACGAGTATTTATAACATTGGCTACAAAATGACTTTCCCTCTTCACTATCATCAAAACTAAAATCGAATCGCTTATATACTGTTTTAGTCGAGTTGCTTTTCGCCATAAATGCCGGGCAGCTCTGCTTGTAGTCTCAACAATCGCACATAAGTGACTAATTTCCAATCTTCCGGATCCTCGCCGTGCTGTGTAAATGTTGAAGAATAGGAAACCAATTCCTGTGACCCATCCGAATCGAAATCGGCTATTAACATCGAATTCTCCTGATTGTTCAAATCCGGCTGGCAGATGACTTCATTATGATCATTGCGACAAAATTGCACAATATTGCTCTGCGAGGTATTTTCGATGCGATATTCAGCGCCCACGAAAATCACCAGCATTACAGTTTCTGTAATCATTTGCATTTTGTAATTATTGAGCAGCAAATTACTGCTGCTGCTGCTGCGTCGTACACGTGTTACATTATGCTCCGCAAGGGGTAGCGTGTATGTGTGCCTCTTCTGTATGAGATGGTCGAATGCACTGAACGTGTTTGTGGGAAACTCATGCACCAGCTGCTGGCCATTGTGTAGTTTCTCATTCCCACTTTGTCGTTTTGTTTTATTTGTTGTGATATGATTCTGCTTCGTTGTTTTTGTAGTATTCTCTTTGCCCACATGAGACTTGGCCTTTTTACTTGCATATGCAGCCTGGTTAGTGCGCGTATAGTATGCATTCCCGGGCGCATCCTCTTTGATTGGTCCACGAAGCGTTTCTTTGTGGTTGTTCCACTTCCAAAACTTGATTACAAAGCCTGACTTTTCCTTCTCAGTGTTTTTGAAATGCCATTGCGCTGGCACCATGCCATACATTGCCGAATTTGTAAAGTTTCGCAGCACAGTAGTTTTGTTGTTGCGTGTCTCGCGAAGCACGAATGTGACATTGCAATCATCCGGACATTTTCCGCGATTCTCCACCACCAGTTCGCGTCCACTGAGCGAGTAAATGTTGCGCTGGGCATCGATTTCTTTACGTTGCCCGTAGTGGCGATGTTGTGCGATTTTCGATGCCGGCAATAACTTCTGGCCAGTGGCAATAGATTTGTTCGTTATAAGCGCAAATAAATCCGCTAAGGTTTTCGAACGTTGCGCTTCTGTATTATTGCGCCAACAGTTGAAGGTTATTTTTTCAGGATTCTTCAGCTGCAGCTTATGCACCACGTCACAGTCTTGCAACTTAAAGCCATCACCAATGGGCTTGCCGTTACGCCCAGATAGTATACGTAAGAGATTTCTTTCCTCCACACGATGATTGCCAGCGCGTAGTTCACCTTTGTGCACAAGATTACGTGTACGCAGCTCGAATGGTACACTGGTTACCATTAATATCTCCAAAACACCATCACCATCTAAATCTGGTAAAATCACTGGAAAGTCCAAAGCATCTACTCTGTGTGGCAAACGTTCTTTGTAATGCCAGTGCCACTCGCCTGAAATGGGATCGATGGCGCTCAATTCACCAAACTCACCCAATACCAAACAATCGGAACGCCCATTCCGATCTACGTCTATCAGCGTGCAATCGATAGCAACAGGTTCGTCTATCATCTCATCGTACCAGGCTACAGCACCCGAACTGCCTATTAACGAGATAATACCGTTACGCTTTGCATTATTATTATTGGGAAAAAAGGCGTCGCCACGATACAAGAATATTAAATTATTCTCCCAACTTCGCAATCCGCCGACAATGTGTACACCACCCTTCAGTTCGATTTTCGTATAGTTGTTCAACCAATTGTGTGTGCGTACTTGATCTACTGGCGCAGGACATGTTTCATTACAGGGCACCAGCCACACGAAACCGAATATGGCAAACACGCATAAAAGCAGTGATGATATAAAACAACAACGCCGCGCCGGAGACATAGGCTCATGAGTGCTAAGATCCTTTAAGCTACCACGTCCCAAAATGGCTACATTATCTGCATCAATATGATTGCGCTCATCGTAGTCGCTATTAAAGCTCGAGAAACTGCTGGCCTGATCATTCAGGCCAATATCGGACATCATGACGGATCTAAAAGTGTTCTGCATGTTGGTCGTGTAACTGCTGGGCTGTGGTCCTGATCTGGTTTGGTTATTGATTGTCTGGTTGCCTGTAAAATAAAAAAATGTAATGCTTATTAACAACAAAAATTTAGGATATTATGGGATCTTAATAATGTACGATACACCTTTGTCCATTTCATAGGCTATGAAAGACTTGACTTGTTTAAATATACTATTGAAACCACACATCCTAGCAAAGGGTTTTTAAAAATTTAAACACTAGAGCTAACCAATATATAGCTTCATATTTCTTGATTTTTTAGTGCTTTGCGCACATCTTGCTATCCGATTTACAAAATAGTGATTCAATCCCTTTCCTAACACTCATTGCATTTTTAGATACATGTGTTGTAAAGAACAATGGAATGACTTAATATAATAAACATCGTCCTTTGGTTAGAGCAATTTAGACTGGTATGTACGTGCTAGAATACATACAAATGCACGTACATTTTTATAATCCTACATACATATGTATGAACTTATCGCACACCATCTTTAAAAGGGTCACAACTCAAAATAGTACGTTCGTCAGAAAATGCGAAAAACTATTTCGTAGCACATGCTAATCATATGGGCAAGGGCGACTTTACCTTAAGTTTTTTTTTAAACAAATTATAACAAAAATTTGCTCCATGCATAGTTTCAAAAATGACAAATTTTGAGTTGTGACTCTTTTGAAGACGGTGTGCGATATGTACGTATACATATACATACGCATCAAAAATTTCCCGCGTATAATCTATAATCCTATTACAAAGATTTTCTCGTACAAACTATACTTATGTATGTGTGTCGGTATGTCCACTCACTTAGAATTGTTGATGAAAGCGAATCGTCGTTATGCGTGAAATGTGCTGTATTCAAGTTGCTTTGCAATTGTCGCAGTGCAAGACTCTTGGGTGGTTCTTTTTTACCAACAACACTTCCGTTTTGATGCACCTGTTTTTGGTGGTATAGCTGATGCTTTGGATGTTTCGTGCTATTATGTATTTCCTCCTCAGATTCCTCGTCCGAATCTGTAATCACCTGATTTAACGGTGCATAGATGGCTTGGTGTGGATATTCCATATGAAGCATTGTAGTAGCTGCATAGTCACAGAGACGAAGCAAAAAGTCAGCGGCACATACATATGTATGGGAAAAATCAATAATTAATGAATAATGTTTCACTTTTGTTTACCTGAGTTGACACTGTTAATTTTTCATTCGGCAACCACATAGTTTTACAATTTAATGCATTTAATTTCACTGATTTGTCGTAATTAAATTTATAAGCGAGTGCAATAATTTTCACAATACGCTGAGAAGTGACTATACTTTTAACGGTTATGCACAGAAATGCAATGGGGTTGGTCATTTCCGTGTTTAGTGTTGCATTAACGCATTACAACAGCTGTTCGAAACAGGGTGTTCGCAGTATAAAGTAATAGATTTGCTATACACCGAGGTTATGGGGGTATTCATAATGTCGCAAAACGAAAGTCAAGGCTTTTTAGCAATGTTCATGAAAGAATCAAAAGTCTTCTAACGGTACTTACATATGTTTGCATGTTTATATTCCGCCTTATTAGGAATTGCATTTTTTCCCGAACCGGCTCACTTTACACTTTTGGTTTCCATGTATTTACCATGGGCATGGGAACAATTTTCGGGTGATTTCTTTTTCGGGCGAAACCCAGGATAAAGAAGATTATCTATATATTTCGATCAAAATTAACGGAATTCGGAGGTATCATGATGACAGAATGGTGTATAAACGGAATGATATGGCATAAGCTCTGATCCAGTACTCCATGAACTTACAGGTTTTTACAGGAACTTGCAGGAAGTTACAGGAAAAATGATTCCGTACTCCGAATTCCTCCAAAATCCTGCAAATGAGAGCGATTTTTTGAGAGTTCTGGAGAGAATGAAGTTGCAAAATTTTACCCGAAATTTTCTTCTGGTAAAATCGTGACAAGTGTCAAGCGATTACTGGTTATGGTGGACCGTGGTGTTTAAACTAATCGTTTTCAACGAAGTTGTTCGGCAGCCAACATTTAATTCATCTAATCGCTTCTAAAATCATTTCATGTAAACAGCGTATTAAAAGAAGCAATGAAATGATTACGGAATAATATTTGACTTTACTGGAAATTAGCTTTTAAATGCCACACTGACATTGTAATAGATTGTTGGTAGTTGTAGATTGGAAAATGCATTTCTTGAAACCGCGAATAAGCCGTTATTTGCAGAAATCCAAAAAATTTTCATTCAAAGCGCGTGTTGGTGTGGTTTTCAAAGGAAATTGCCGAGTTTTCGCATTCGTATGCGTTTGTCATCTCAAAATTAATACAAAATTTCCGATTTCGTGTCCGATTTTTTGGAAATTTTTATTCCAGAAACGGTGACCATGTATGCCGCTGTGAGACCGCTCTCCAAATATTTGCAATTTAAATCAGTCCGCATATACGATGTGGTATTCACATTGCATTCCAAGTGCACAGTGGTCCTCTTGTTGACTTGCTCATTTCTGTTATCGGCCAAGCAATATTTCGGTGAACCCATACAATGTATGGGCGAGCGCATGTACGGTGAATTTGTTAACTCATTTTGCTGGACAATGGGCACATATGTTTTCAATGTGTACGATGTGCGAGATCGTATTCCACATGGGAATAAACTGCTAAGTACACAGACTGGAGATGATGCATCTCCTTACATAGCAGAAGGAATTATCGCTGAGGTACCCGGAGTCACAGAGCGTGTATATTTGCGCTACTATCAATGGGTCATAATGTTGTTGTTGCTGCAGTCTGCCATCTTCTATTTTCCATCCTTCCTGTGGAAGATTTGGGAGGGTCAACGTCTAAAGCAGCTATGCTACGAAGCTGGTGAGTGTCGAATAAATAAGCTTTCAATTTGATAATTGGTTGGGTTTAATGTACATATTTGTTGGTTTATAGGTCATGCATTGGTACCGGAAAGTATTTATGTGGACCGCCTTAAGCTTTTGGTCGATTATTTTTCAACGGACTATAAAGATATACACTTCTGTTACATGGTAAAATGCTTATCATGTGAAGTACTAAATTTTATAATCAGCGTGAGTATTGGAATATTTAAATTTGAACGTAAATAGAAGAATTAAGTATATGTACATACCCAGTAGATAATTTCAGGAGTTAAAAGCTCTCCCTGAAAGCCTTCCTGAGAATCAAGGCCCTCCGCTATATATTCCTTTCTCCTTTCTCTTTTGTATGGAGTGGCACAAATGAAGGGCTTCTGCTTTCGCACCTTAAAAAGTGTATATTGAAATTCATTTGTAATGCTAAATAATAGATACTTATACATCCGCGTAAATTGGGCATGGGAAAAGCCCTTCGAGAAAGCATAGAATTCTTGAAAATCAATATTTTCCAATCGGGGAAAACTCGTGTTCTCTTCAGGAGATTCCTAATGTTGTTGTTGTTGTAGCGGCTACCACAACCCCGCCCAGATCGGTTAGTCCCTCAATCGTTGTCGTCAAGCTCTACTAGCGGTAGCCCCAGAAAGCGTGCAGCCTCGATGGGGTCTGTCCACAGGGGCAGGGGCGTCAGTAGCGTGGGGTTCAGTTCGTTTAATCTGCTCAGGTATGATTTCAACCTGCTGCATTAACCAGAGTGCAGTGGGGGCTATTGTGGCCCGAGTCTCCCCAGGCAGACGAAACTCTGTCTCGTCCACGTCTGGTGGTTGTATGCCCAGAACGGCATTCACAGGTGGAGAGTCTACATAACTCGAGACTGCCTCTCTGTGAATGCCGTTCAAGGCCTGGCTGTAGGGTCCAAAGGTTGTTTGATGAACCTATATTTTATAGGTCCGCCAAAACCACAGAAAATACCAGAAAATGCAGTGGGGGATAAATAAAAAATTATTAGTATTAAAAAATGATTAAATAAAACAATAAAGTATTGAAACTCTCATGAAGAGAACCAGAGTTTTCTGATCGAAAAATATAAATTTTCAAGAATTCCATACTATTTATACGAAGTGATGTTTTTTCTCATATATATTCTGGGTATATTTTTTCTATATAAAACAATCCTAGTTGGTGAGAGCATTAAAATTCCGACTTTACTTATTTTTCACCACTCTTAATGTACACGCATATATATGCATATTTTATTTTCAGGTAATCAACATTTTGTTGCTCAACGTATTTTTAAATGACTTTTGGACAAAATACATTGAGGCTTTATCTGCTATACCACGTTATGATTGGGATAATTGGAATCGCATTACTTCGCGAATTTTTCCGAAACTGGCAAAATGTGACTACTATTCAGTTGGTCCTGGTGGATCTCATAACAAGCGCGATGTTTTATGTATTCTACCGTTGAATATATTAAATGAGAAAATCTTTGCTTTCCTCTGGTGCTGGTTCATCATAATGGCTATAATTGCTGGGTTAAATTTGTTCTATCGTTTATTTCTCATATCCAGCAGGACCTTTCGTATGAAAATGATCAGCACACAATTGCGCCCAATGTCTTCAACACAGGTGCAGCTAGCTCTTGAGAATATGACCTTCGGCGATTGGTTTTTGTTATTTAAGGTTAGCGTAAATATTAATCCAATGCTATTTCGAGATATCATACAAGAATTATACGAAAAACGACAGCTGAGAAATAATTTGAAACCAGTTTAAATGGATCAATGTAAAATGCGCTAAAGTTGACCTAATATTTTGCTCTAGTCGTTAAGTAAGAAACTGCCTTAAAAATTGTAACTACGAAAAAGAAACTATTGGATGTATTTTTCAGTTTCTCAAGATGTTTTACAGAATAATACTCAACTTGATATTGATTGTCACGTTACAATAATGAAAATTAGTTGACTGAATTTCTATGTTGTACAAAAAAGTTATCATTAAAAATATGTATCTTACTAATATTAGCTTACACCGATATGGATAAATGAATTTGCTTTTGTGATTAATAAACTTAGTGCCACCTGAAGCGCACAGAATAGGTACATACATCAAGAACGATGTATGTATGTAGGCGCGCATTTAGCTTTGTTTGGTACTTATTGAATTACATATATAGTTTTTTTTTTACTATCTAAAAAATGATAAAATAAATTAAAATAAGAGATTTCTTAACCAAACTAATTTAAATATGAACTTTTCTTTTCTATTTTTGTTTACTAATTCTATGTACATAAATATGTATGTATCCACGTAATGTAAAAAACGAGAACGAAAAAAAGGAATAAATTTAAGGTTGGATGAAGCAACTACATAAAAGATATTTTTCTTTTTTTTTAAGAGACATTAATTTAATGATTGGCGAAAAGTATGAGTTGTTGATATTGCATTTTAAAAGTTCGTTCTCCTCTCGGTCCTTTCATTCTGTTCGTGGAGGCCTCCGCCCATTGGATTTTCTCACCGGTCCGCCATCATTCCTGCATACATATCGAACTTAGCAGAATCATTGTTGTTATTGTTGTGACTACTTAACCCTGCCTTGTTGTAACGCCATGAAAAATCCTCGCAAGAGTTTTTGGAGCATCAGCTGAGTGATGGTATTTGGCCAGATATAAATATGGATCGTTACGGTTACGTAGACCCACTTCCGCGGGAACGTCAACCGTTGTCAAGCTTGACTTACGATAGAATAAGAAAACGTTTTGTTTGGATAGAGCTGGATAGGTAAAATTTCAGCGTGCTACTAGGGCGGGTCTCTCGAGGCAGTAGGTGGTGATTGCTCTCCGATGACGACATTCACGAGGCGGGAGTTGGTGAAGTTGGGCCCCCTTGTGAATGTTATTACTTAAATGTTTAGCATCGGAGCCAGTGCTTGTGGTTTGTAGTACTGGACCTGGTTCTTTTGTTTATATAGATGCGTTCTGACATGCCGGGCTGGAGCTTCTACTTCCAGCATCATCATTTCTTCATCGTATCCGTCGCACTCGCGGACGAAGGCATATATCTTGAGTAGAGTAGTTTTCCGAAAAACTCTCAAAGCCTTCTCATCTCTGTTTGACTCTTTGTTTGCTGCAGGAGGTACTTTTTTTAATTATCGTTCAGCACTACACCAACAACCTCTTTCGCCGCTTTCTCTTAACTGGTAAATGCTTCGCTTATAGATACGGTGACCATCCGTCCTGTTTTTTGCAGGACCGTACTGTTATTCAAAGGTCTGCTCTGCGTAGTTTTTCAAAAGAGAAAAAACTTGAAAATGTACTGATTTTTCCCCAGTGTCCTGCATTTGTCCCGCATTTTATTCGGTATTTTAAAATTAACGGCCGAAGCACTTTACCTATCAAAATATAGGCAGTGTCGATAACTGATTGATAACTACATGAAGGTGAGTGAGGAAGATTTTGCAACTTCAACCAGTCAGTGCGTTACAAAATTTTGCGCGGCCGCAGTCAATGTATGGACGTTATTTGGTACCTACTTATCGGAGCTTTTCTTTAATATCTCATGAAAAAATCCCCCGACCCACGTAAGTTGGGAAAGTATTGATGTGCCTCTTAAAAAAATATATAACTTGTGCTGATTTCAATGAAAATTATTAATACTACAAGCGATCAAAGTCGAAACAAGTAAGATTATCAATCAACTACACAGTTTTACTTGATTATTTTTTTCATTATTTTACAAATTCCATATAAAGAAGAAGTGTCATTACAGTAAATTTTGAGCCTAAGGTAATGAAAATCGGATGAGAAATTTAGATGTTATGTAACACAATCTACACAAATTATATATTTTTGTAAAGGGCACATAAATACCTCTGCGTCGATTTTTGACGAATAACTGCGAAAATACCAAAAAAAATAAAAAAAATTCGTTGTTTGAAAAAAAACTTGAAAACGTTTCTTTGAAAAATGGGTATTGTTTTCGTGTTGAACAACCCAAAGTTTGCCTATAAAATTATTTTTAAAAAGGTTCACTTTTCGTGTAGGCTAATGTAATTATAATATGTTTTATTATAATTTTATAAATATTAATTTAAAAAAAGATTGATACCAATGAAGAAAATGTGATTTACTTTTAAAGTTTTACATAGAATTTAGAAACATATACTATAAACGTTTTTGTTATTTTTATTCTTCGTAAATATAGTATGTAGCTATATTTTTGAAAAATTGTCCTGCATTTTAAATTCAAATTTATGGTCACCGTACTTATAGACCAAGCTTTCATGCCGAGCATGTCAATATCGGGCCAATTCGTAAATGCACTACTGCAAAAAACACTTTCTTTTATTTCCAATCTATATCACGGTGCACAGTGGGGCAAAAAAGTCTGCTGTGGACAAATCAATTTTAAGAGCCCAAATATGAACCGATTTCATGTTTCTTTTGTTTTTTTTTTTAATAAGAGAATTAAGTTTCGCATCGATCTATCCGTGGCGATTTTTTAAAAAAAGCTCTAGTTTTTTATTTATTTATGTAGAAAATGAAAGAAAACAAATTTTTACATTTGAATGCTACGAATTTTTTGGAAAATACTTGAAATTGATTTCAAATGCCTGCAATTATTTAAAAAATTATTCATAAACATTTTTCCATAGGATGCATTTAATTAAGAAATGTTTTTAATTTGTCATATATACTGATATATATTTTGAAAGCCGTTGTTTTCTAATCGAGAAACACGAGAACAACTGTACCGTTATTTTTGAAATTTTGGACATCGATTCCCAACCCCCAAAGGATGAAAATAGAAGAAAAATAATTTCGATATAGCAAGGGGGGCGTGGCACCTCACATACAAATCGAAGTTTTCACCCAACATATCTCTGGAAGTATTCATCGTAGAGTGCTGCAACTTAGTAAAGAGATATATAATATCAACGCCAAACTCATGGAAAAAATGGGAGTTATTGAAAAATGGGGCGTTGATATTTTATTCAATTTCCTTGGAGCTAGGATAATCGCTCCATTGTCCGAGTGTGTTCCTTGTCTGGAGCAACCACTACAATCTAACCTTATCGTCCGTTTTCTTCGTCGGGACGTGTGCATAAAAACTCTGGGAGTTAACCGTGTGAACTAAGATTTCGAATTCTCCCCCCGACCAAACAAAATTTGTGCGACGTCTTATGGCAGCTGTACATGTAGTACATGTCGCAACATGTTCTGTCCATCGCATTTCCTGAACTGAACATTTACTTACTATACATCGCTCCGCTTGCTACAAAGACAGACAGACACCCGCTTAAAGCCGCTCTTACTGGTAAACAGATGCCGTTGACTTTAGTAAGCCCTTAACCGAACCGAATAAGTCGGAGTGTCCCCACCAAAGCTCCCTCATTCTCTGTCGTCACCCCAGATTCCAGACGGAGCATCTCAAACGTGGGTCGTTCATGTTGTCCAGGATGCGCGAACGGTTATGCCAGAGCCGGGATTGAGCTTAGCCATGCACTCCACGATTTACAACAACAAAGCTTACTTAATTACATTGTATAATATTAAGTCTTTAGCATATGTAAATATAACATTTTTTGAAGCGATATTTATCGTATACCGTTCGATGTTGGAAAATTAAGTTACTTGCAAAATTTTCAAAGTGTTGACCATGCACTGGAGCAATGCACTAAAGTAACCCCCACTTAATACTTTAGTGGGTGCACAAGTAGATACAAATATATGTATGTACATTAGGGTGCCTCACCAAAAGAAAGTTGTGGTTTTTCCAACGGAACTATACAATTTATTATACTTTAAAACTACCGCTAAAATATTTCGGAAAAATATTGAGGTCTACGTGAGCTGGACTGATTTGAAAACATCTCCAAAAATCTCATTATTATGATAAAATATGATAAAATTTTCACGCAGAAGATAATTTTGGAGAAAAAATTGTTTTAAACCTATTTTATTTATAAGAAACTAGATTTTTGGGGTGGACCAAAGCCTTGAAATATAATAAATTTTCTAATTCCGAAGGGAAAACGCGCATAATCTTGATATTTTTTCTGAAATATTTTGGCAGAAATTCTAAAATAATATCTAGATTTTTTAATTCCAATGAAAAAATTGTACCGATTTATTTTTTTAATTGTAGATATGGAGAGTGAAGCACCCTAATGTAAGTATGTACGCCTTTTGCTTGTGAAAAAAGAATTTTTCATACTTAAATAAAACGAGTGTCTCCCCGCACTTAGTTTTATATTGTTGACATTTTTTCTTGTAAACCTATGCAAAAGAACACAACACTCCACACTTACATAAAATGCGAAAATCAATAAGCGAGCATTTAGTATATGTATGTACAGTGGTCCACAAAATAATAGGAGTGCGTTATTTTGGTCAGTTTTTGCAATTTGTCTTTTGTTTATTTAATGTTTATTATTTTTATACAAAAGTCAAGCTGGGTATACAACAAACAACGAATAAATTCAGATTTCAACCTTTGTACAAAAATTATTAAAATTCTGTAAATTTTCACCAAAATATCAAACTTTTTAATCAGAATCTTCAGAGAAAATTCTGGTATGCAGTTTTATAGCCCATTCAATTCTAGTCTGAAGAAGTGCAAGTTTCAAGCTGCTAAAAAATTCCGTTGATTTTTTTGCTGGCACTGTCCCCATATAAAAGAAAATTGTCGAACATACTTTGTATGGAAAAAACGTGAAACACCTTCAACCGAAAAAATTCTCAAAAATCAACGGAATTTTTTAGCAGCTTGAAACTTGCACTTCTTCAGACTAGAATTGAATGGGCTACAAAACTGCATACCAACATATTTTCTAAAGATTCTGGTTAAATAGTTTGAAATTTTGGTGAAAATTTGCAGAATTTTTATAATTTTTGTACAAACTTGAAAATGTAAATTTATATGGTGTTTGTTGTATTACCAGCTAGGCTTTTACAAAAAAATACGAAACATTAAATAAACTAAAGACAAATAGCCAAAACAGGTTAAAATATCCCACTCCTATTATTTTGTGGACAACTGTATGTAGTTTTTTTTTTACTGCTAACCTCAACAAAATCCACATTCAAATTGAAAAAAAAAAATGCAAAAAAAATTTTGAGTTTCATTAATTACCAGTAAAATTCAGCAGTTGTAGCAAAAATGAGTATTTAAATTTGGGTCGATTCGCCGTGGTTTGTAGCGATGTTCTACTTTTTGAAATGATTGAAAAGCAGAGTTGCTTGCCGTTACCGACCACAGTCTCATCGCGTTATTCAAACGGAAGTGATCGGTCGGTCGGTCGGTTGTTGGTTGCATTTGG